CCCTACACAAAACATAAATGAAAACAAAAGGAAATAAATAAAACAAGGAAGAAAGAAATAACTAACTCAAGCAGATAAGTTCCCAAGTTCCACTACAAGAAAAAAGTCATTTCACAACGCGCAATATGCGTTGTGAAAACATATTGCCAACATGCGGCGCACGTTGTTGAAGCCGATGTCGTTAAAAGGTGTAGGGCTTTCGACAACACGCGTTGAACGTCGTCGTTTATTTTGGCGCTCGTTGTGAACAACATTAACCACAACACGCGCACGTTGTAGGAGCGATTGACAACAACGTGCCGAGCGTGTTGTCTTATAATATTATGACAACATGTCTGTGCTCGTTGTTGTTTATGTTTTGACAACAAGCAATGCGCGTTGTTATATCAAATATATATGTTTTTTTTAAATAATTATCAAAATTACCTGATAAAAGTATAATTTATCTATAAATAGAAGCTCTATGATAAACATAAATATTTCCTTACTTCACATTCATAAGGCATCCCAGAATACAAAGCTTTCATTCAAAAGATAAATAAGGAGTTCCATATACATATTACAAAGTTATATTCATCCCAATATACTCATCGATGGTGAATGTAGCTGGAAACCACTGATTGAAGCTCATCAGCATCCTGAAAACCCCATTGCCTGTTGTAATTTGTTTGCATGCCAAAAGAAGACATGGAATGAGAAGTGCCCTCTTCGAAGCTGCCATATGAGACATTTTCTTCTGGGATATTCACTAAATTTTCTTCTGGGATATTTGAATTCATAATTCCATTCTCATAATTCCAACTTTGAGCTGCTTGATTAGGGTTTGAGCCATTGACAAAGCTTTGAGCTGCTTGATCCTTGAGGAAAGCTAACTGTGCTTGTAAGTTGACCACCTGAAAAGTTCAAACCAAAAGCATATACTCATCAGTTACTTCAACATACAATCTGAACAGAAACCCAATCTGAACATACAAAGGGTACTAAATGATTAACCTGCTGTTGGAGAGCAAAAATATGTGAAACACATCCATATATGGGATCTTGAATCCTGGCTTGAGCTTCATATGATATCGACATCGCGGCCTTGCATCGATCGCTCAACGGAAGGTGAACTAAAAGCCTCGACACATTGCTTGCGCCAAAAACCTTGTGGATGGCAGAAAAATCAACATCTCCCTCTTCATAGCAGAAATGAGGCGCAAAAATACACCCCTTCACACATTTTCTTCTCAAGAACTTGCAGGCTCCACAGGGAGAACCACAACCAGCCATGGTTTTGATGATCTTTTTTAATTGGGAGGGTTTTATATACGTTTTATGTTGGTGATTTTTGCCCCGCATTATCCGCATTATGGTTTAGGGTTTTTGTAATATAATATTGCCCCGCATTATCCGCATTATTGGTGGTTTGTGCCCCGCATTATCCGCGATTTTTGTTTTTGTTTTTACTTCATTAATGGTGATTTGTGCCCCGCGTTATCCGCGATTTTTGTTTTTGTTTTTACCCCATTATTGATTGTTTCTGTTTTTGTTTTTGTTTTTACCCCAAAATTCTCAGGCAATCAGAACCATCAAACGCATGTAAAGGATCACTTGAAGAAATAAATTTCTCCAGTAGACATGAGACAAAAGAGCCTAACATGAGTAGGCATGGGGAACATATTCTGACATTTAATGATAGAAAGAGCTGGACTTGCTTTTATTTAGACAAACTTCGCTTAATCAACCTTGGTTCTAAAAATCCATAATATATACAATAGAAATAATTTGCAGTTCACAATACTTCGGAAGCAAAACAACAATGAGGAGCACAAGCCCTCACCTGATATAACAATTTCAGATTTCCCTTTGCAGAAAGTTAGATTGCTCATCTAATTGCATCAGTAACTCCTAAACAGAAAAAGTTCCCATTTGTAGCTCTCATATCAGATATACGAAACAATCATACACCCCCATTGCTACTAACAGACATATGCATATGGGTGTAATGTGCGTGTTGTAGCAAACCTGACATGATATAATCGCCAGTTAAACAAACTAAATCCTAATCCATTAATAAAAAAAGACCAAAATTTGAAGTTATTAGCAATTAAATCAGCGAAAAAGCCCTAACCTTTTTTATGCGCAACAACAACAGCAGGAGCAACAGCAGAACCACCAGCACCGGCACCATTGTCATCATCCGGCACTGAGCCCTAGCCTCTCCACCTCGGCTCCCCATGATCACGGCACTGAGCCCTAGCCTCTCCACCTCCAAGCACAGCCTCTCCTTCATGTCATGGTCCTTAACGATGTGGATCTTGAAGGGAATCTGCGCCTCCTTCAAGGGCATGGCGAGATCGTCGGCACAGGGAAAGAAAAGAAGAAGAAAAGAAAGAGAGAGAGAAAGAAAAAGAAAAGAAAGAAAAAGGGAAAGAAAGAGAGAGACTGTCGGCGGCACAGGGAGAAGAGAAAAGAAGAAGAAAAAAGAGAGAAGAAAAAGAGAGAGAGAA